ACTTTATATTTACTTTGTGTTAACAAAGCACCACGAATGCGACTCTAACAAAGGTTACTGTAGGAAGATTTTTTGATATTAAATGACTAATGAATTGATGTCTGTTTCTGGACTTGTTGTGGTGTTACTCACGTATGTGTTGGGGTCCTGAGCTTGGGTTTTGGGCAGAGGGGAGTCACAGTCAGGGCTGTAGTGTTCACAGAAGTCATAGGCAGCTTGAGGGTTGGAGGCAATCATCAGCTGCTGGATGTCTCCCTGTGGAGGAAAAAACAAACACATAATTAGAACTTGTTTCTGTGACCAAAACACGAACAAACGTGTGATTTTCCTGCTCAAACTTTGTTGCCACCCAGTCAGTAACATCACAGTTTATCTTGACCGAGCTCCTCACCTGGAACACCTCCTCGTCCAGCAGGCGGGCTCCAAACACTGTGATGCCATTGGTGTCAACCACTGCCTTGTTGCCCCTGGGCAGAGGGCGGGTCATCTTCTTCTTGCAGTCCAGCAGCAGTGTCACGTTCTTCTTGGAAACAGAGAAAGCAATGCGATGCCACCTACAGACGAGGAGGAGGAACCACAGGCAATTCAATGAGCAACGTGAGAACAGCCCTAAATAAACAGCCATCAGCAACCCCACAAAAAATTATATAGAATTTCCACACAGCCAGCAAACACTGGTCCCATTCACACCTACACCACCACAATCATGTCATTTCAACTGGTCACAAACTGGTTGTTGTTGCTGGTTACTGACTTGCCATCAGCCAGGTTGACGCCTTTGAAGAGTGGGTAGTCCTCCGGAGCTGGCTTGCCGCTCTGGTCCTCGTACAGGAAAACAGGTGAACGTCCCAGTTCGATACCCAGCTGCTGGACGCCCTGCTCGCTGTAGATGGAGAGGAGGAAGGCCTGGAGGCCAGCCTGGGCTTTAACCAGAGCCATGACGGAGAAATTCTCCGGGAAACGACCTGAGGATGAGAGCGAGGGAAGTATTAACCATATTTGTAGATGAGGAAAGATGACAAGAATGAAGCAGATGTGCAGACTGGAAAGAAACATAGAAGCAGAAAGTGGTAGAAATGTGAAAATAACACTAATGAAGAGCTTTAATTTATTAAATACACATGTCAGCGTGAAGTGGTTACATAATGTCACGCTATGATCCCATGTGGAGCTGGCATAGATGGTGTATCACATAATGACAGCTGGAGAAAGAAGGCTGAACATCAGCTTTGACTTTTGAGGATTTATTCACAGCCACATAAGTGCTACTGTCTCCTTTCTGCCCTCACTCCGGGGTGTCAGGCAGCTTCTAAAGTTAATTTGTTGTGGGTCTTCCACATACTTTAACTCTGCTTCTGCACTGAAAACACATAATTATACTTAATATCCACGAGCATCACGCAGAGGGCTCAGCTGCTCCACGCAGCTCAGTGCAAACAGATACCGACCAGTAAGGATAATTACAGGTTTCCTGTCTGGAATTCATGATAAATATTAAATGCAAAGCCGTTTTTACACTGTGAGGTGGGACAGGTTTAAATAATACTACCTTAAATGTTAAATTCCTCTCCCCAAACAATCTGAATCATTAAAATAAGATAAGAT